CTGAATAAAGCAGTGCTGAATCAACACTGCTGAATAAGCGTCGCAGAATTAGTGCTGCCCCATGAGGTAGTTGCTGTGAAGTGCCACAAGGACCAGCTCGCTTGCAAGCACATGCAGCATCATCAGAGTCAGCTTACCAAGTGGACACAGAATGCATGGTTCGCGTGAAAAGGTCTACTTCTGCCCACTCACCTCCCCCCCACTGCACTCACCTCCCCCACTGCACTCACCTCCCCCCACTGCACTCACCTCCCCTCACTGCACTCACCTCCCCCACTGCACTCACCTCCCCCCACTGTACTCTCCTCCCACCAAGAGAGGGGTAGTCCCTATTCCAGCCAACTCACTCACCTTGGGCGAACAAGGGCCCATCTGACCTCACTCACCCTAGGCGAGCAAGGGCCCATCTGACCTCCCTCACCCTAGGCGAGCAAGGGCCCATCTGACCTCTCTCACCTCTATGAGGCTGTCCTCAGAGACTTGCACCTTCCTTGCCTGCACTCCCAGCCGGTCTGCACCAATCGTAATGTGCCACGTGTGAGCAAATACACCAATCACGTGTGAGCAAATACACCAATCACGTGTGAGCAAGTACACCAATCACGAGCACACACCTGGCACGAGCACACACCTGGCTCCAGCACGCACCTGGCAGGCACACACCTGGCAGGAGCACAGACTTGGCACGAGCACACACCTGGCACGAGCACACACCTGGCACGAGCACACACCTGGCACGAGCACACACCTGGCACGAGCACACACCTGGCACGAGCACACACCTGGCACGAGCACATACCTGGCACGAGCACACACCTGGCACGAGCACACACCTGGCACGAGCACACACCTGGCTCCAGCACACACCTGGCACGAGCACACACCTGGCACGAGCACACACCTGGCTCCAGCACACACCTGGCACGAGCACACACCTGGCTCCAGCACACACCTGGCACGAGCACACACCTGGCACGAGCACACACCTGGCACGAGGACACACCTGGCACGAGCACACACCTGGCACGAGCACACACCTGGCACGAGCACACACCTGGCACGAGCACACACCTGGCACGAGCACACACCTGGCTCCAGCACACACCTGGCACGAGCACACACCTGGCACGAACGCACACCTGGCACGAGCACACACCTGGCTCCAGCACACACCTGGCACGAGCACACACCTGGCACGAGCACACACCTGGCTCCAGCACACACCTGGCACGAGCACACACCTGGCTCCAGCACACACCTGGCACGAGCACACACCTGGCACGAGCACACACCTGGCACGAGCACACACCTGGCTCCAGCACACACCTGGCACGAGCACACACCTGGCACGAGCACACACCTGGCACGAGCACACACCTGGCACGAGCACACACCTGGCACGAGCACACACCTGGCACGAGCACACACCTGGCTCCAGCACACACCTGGCACGAGCACACACCTGGCACGAGCACACACCTGGCTCCAGCACACACCTGGCACGAGCACACACCTGGCTCCAGCACACACCTGGCACGAGCACACACCTGGCACGAGCACACACCTGGCACGAGGACACACCTGGCACGAGCACACACCTGGCACGAGCACACACCTGGCACGAGCACACACCTGGCACGAGCACACACCTGGCTCCAGCACACACCTGGCACGAGCACACACCTGGCACGAGCACACACCTGGCTCCAGCACACACCTGGCACGAGCACACACCTGGCTCCAGCACACACCTGGCACGAGCACACACCTGGCACGAGCACACACCTGGCACGAGCACACACCTGGCTCCAGCACACACCTGGCACGAGCACACACCTGGCACGAGCACACACCTGGCACGAGCACACACCTGGCACGAGCACACACCTGGCACGAGCACACACCTGGCACGAGCACACACCTGGCTCCAGCACACACCTGGCACGAGCACACACCTGGCACGAGCACACACCTGGCTCCAGCACACACCTGGCACGAGCACACACCTGGCTCCAGCACACACCTGGCACGAGCACACACCTGGCACGAGCACACACCTGGCACGAGGACACACCTGGCACGAGCACACACCTGGCACGAGCACACACCTGGCACGAGCACACACCTGGCACGAGCACACACCTGGCTCCAGCACACACCTGGCACGAGCACACACCTGGCACGAACGCACACCTTGGTTAACAGCAATGACTTCATCATTCCCCAGAATGCGCAGTGTCGCATTTGATACACGAGAGAGGTCGCAGCCAATCAAGAGAGGCGCCTGGTGAAAGGAGGTGGAGGGAAGAGGGGGGAGGGGGAGGGAAGGACGGTTGAGGAGGGAAGTGAGTGCTTCGGTTGGAAATTTACTGACTCACTCATTAAAGGTCTCACTTTTCTCCGACTCACTCATTAAAGGTCTCACTTTTCTCCGACTCACTCATTAAAGGTCTCACTTTTCTCCGACTCACTCATTAAAGGTCTCACTTTTCTCTGAGTCACTCCTTCCCTAGAATGATGTCATTCCTTTCAGTAAGAAATGTGCAGTGTTGCATTTGATACACGAGAGAGGTCGCAGCCAATCAGGAGAGGCGCCTAGTGAAAGGATGTTGAGGGTGGGGGAGGGGAGGGGGGGGGGTTGAGGACGGTGTAGAGGGAAATGAGTGCTTCGGGTGGAAATTTACTGGTCTTAAATCCCTCCAAATCCCTCCAAATCCCTCCAAATCACTCATTCCCTAGAATGATGTCACTTCCCTTCAGTAGGAAATGAGTGCTTCGGTAGTGGATGAGTGATCCGAGATTGCTCTTCCCTCCGAAGGATGTAGATGGGGTGGGCGGGCAGGATGGGTGCGGAGGGAAGTGAGTGTTCCGGTTGGAAATTTACTTCACAACTGTGTTGATAAGATTATCTCAGTGCCGACCTTTCTGGAATTTACGTCGCTCGCAAAAATGTTTGAGTGGAGTCAAAAGCAGACTCATTACAGAGTGTGTTGTTACTCTCGTTGCTGACCTTGATATAATTTACCCTAAAAGGTCTAATGATCTTGAGACGGTCAGTTTTGAGGCGCCTCAAAAGGAGTCTAATTTTTAGGCGCCATAAAAAGCACATCGTACATACGCACCATTGCGAATCGAAAGCATCAGTTTTGAGGCGCCTCAAAAGGAGTCTATTTCTTAGGCGCCAGAAAAAGCACATCGTACATACGCACCATTGCGAATCAAAAGCATCAGTTTTGAGGCGCCTCAAAAGGAGTCTATTTCTTAGGCGCCAGAAAAAGCACATCGTACATACGCACCATTGCGAATCGAAAGCATCAGTTTTGAGGCGCCTCAAAAGGAGTCTATTTTTTAGGCGCCAGAAAAAGCACATCGTACATACGCACCATTGCGAATCGAAAGCATCAGTTTTGAGGCGCCTCAAAAGGAGTCTATTTTTTAGGCACCAGAAATAGCACATCGTACATACGCACCATTGCGAATCGAAAGCATCCCTTTTGAGGCACCTAACGAATACACTCCTACACGCATGGCATGCACACCGTAGATATGCACCATCGCAGATCGAAAGCGTAAAAGAGGCCCGTCCTCTTTCCATGCTCACCTCACTTTCATGATGGCCCAGAGACTGGAATGCACGCGACACTCTCTCATACCTTTTGTGACGTCTCAAGGGCCATCTCCATGCATGCACCCATGCCCACCTCCATGCACCCATGCCCACCTCCATGCATCCATGCCCACCTCCATGCACCCATGCCCACCTCCATGCACCCATGCCCACCTCCATGCACCCATGCCCACCTCCATGCATCCATGCCCACCTCCATGCACCCATGCCCACCTCCATGCACCCATGCCCACCTCCATGCACCCATGCCCACCTCCATGCACCCATGCCCACCTCCATGCACCCATGCCCACCTGCAAGCACCCATGCCCACCTTCATGATGGCCCAGAGGCTGAAGTGCACGCGGTACTCCGACTCTCTCATGCCGCCATTCCCCACCTGCAGCATGTCGGGGTCTGCGAGGGGGGGCGGTTATCAGGAGACAAGAGTTCGGGGAAAGAGATTGGACACCTGAGCTCTTGAGTAGTGCACTCGACACTCCCCGTTTTCATATGTCCCCCATTCCCCACCTGCAGCATGTTGGGGTCTGTGAGGGGGAGGGTCAAGTGTGTGGGGGTGAAGGTTTGCAGAGTGGAGGGTTCGGGGAAAGAGATTGGACACCTGAGCTCTTGAGCAGTGCACTCGGTCGGTACTCCCCAGTTTCACATGATTCCATTCCCCACCTGCAGCATGTCGGGGTCTGTGAGGGGGAGGTTCAAGTGTGGGGGGAAGGGGGGCGGAGTGGAGGGTTTGGGGAAAGAGATTGGACACCTGAACTCGTGAGCAGTGCACTTGGTGCTCCCTACTTATACATGTCCCCATCCCCCACCTGCAGCAACTCAGAGTGTGATCTGAGTGGACAATCAAAAAAGTGGGTGTGGAGGGTGTTGGACAGAGGGGAAGGGGGGGGGGGCAGCACGGTGCTTGTGCCATGGCATACTTTTGCAAGCAGCATGACTGGTTGAAGGATGATGCGGGCCGATGAGCAAGCATTGATTGACCTTGGAGCATTTTCACTGCTTGATCGCAATGGTGCCACGGAGCCATGGTGCCACCTTTACCCTTCCAAACTCTAGCTTTTACCCTTCCCTCAAAGATTTTAGCCCCTGCTTCTTCAAATCACCCACTGATAAGCGCCGTTCCACCCGCCTGCCTTGACGTGCGTGGCTGACTAGCTGTTGGCTCGATTGAGTGCCTCACAAGCGACTACGTGTGTCGGGAACCTTGTGTGTCGGGCACCTCGTGTGTTGGGCACCTTGTGTTGGGTCTGAGTCGGCTATAGCTTCCGCGCGAAACTACAGCTCCCAGGCAACGAAATGTCAAACGTGCTCACAGCAAGCCAACCTTGCTCGTGACTGATGCCAACGTCCTACCGTTAGCTCGTAGCAAGGACTCCTCGCCTACGGCTACAAAACGCAGTCGCACTGAGCGCTCGGACTCCGACACGCCAACTCGCCCATCGCCTCCGGCCGATGTGATTTCGCCTTGCAAGGGCTCCTTGCACTAGGATTATATAGAAGCACTGGGCTCTATGATAATCTCCTCGTCGACACGATTCCAACGTTATCCTCACGTTTGCTAGAAGTCGTGATTATGTACTGCAAGTTTCAGAACTCAACTTTATTTTTAAATAACAAACAGATAAACACTTTTATAGTCAACCAGAATGCCAATTCGCGGCTCGTAACCACCAAGGGCGCTTTGACTAACGAGCGCGCCTCGTTTCGTTTCAGGTCGCACACGCAATCACATCGGAACGCGGTCCGCGTGTTTCAACACCGACACCGACCCCAAGTTCGGTGCCACTGAACGCACACCGTCCAAAATCCCATTTTCTTCCACAACTCCTCCTGTAACTCCACAACACATGTTCTTCACACCTTCCTTCCCACTCCTTCCCCTTCTTCTTCTTCATCTCCCGTCATCCTATTTCCACCGTTCTTCCTTGGTGCACCACCGTCGCACAGTCGCACCGTCACTTCTTCCGAATTCCACCAATATTCCTCAATCACCGCTATTTTTTCAATTGACTTTTCTTCCGTTCCCACCGCCTGAAATTCCTCCCACGATTCTGCTCGCCACCCCTAGGTCGCCCTAGTGGTTGGCGAACCAATGCCAACATTGGGCACCTCATGTGTTGGGCACCTCGTGTGTTGGGCACCTCGTGTGTTGGGCACCTCGTGTGTTGGGCACCTCGTGTGTTGGGCACCTCGTGTGTTGGGCACCTCGTGTGTTGGGCACCTCGTGTGTTGGGCACCTCGTGTGTTGGGCACCTCGTGTGTTGGGCACCTCGTGTGTTGGGCACCTCGTGTGTTGGGCACCTCGTGTGTTGGGCACCTCGTGTGTTGGGCACCTCGTGTGTTGGGCACCTCGTGTGTTGGGCACCTCGTGTGTTGGGCACCTCGTGTGTTGGGCACCTCGTGTGTTGGGCACCTCGTGTGTTGGGCACCTCGTGTGTTGGGCACCTCGTGTGTTGGGCACCTCGTGTGTTGGGCACCTCGTGTGTTGGGCACCTCGTGTGTTGGGCACCTCGTGTGTTGGGCACCTCGTGTGTTGGGCACCTCGTGTGTTGGGCACCTCGTGTGTTGGGCACCTCGTGTGTTGGGCACCTCGTGTGTTGGGCACCTCGTGTGTTGGGCACCTCGTGTGTTGGGCACCTCGTGTGTTGGGCACCTCGTGTGTTGGGCACCTCGTGTGTTGGGCACCTCGTGTGTTGGGCACCTCGTGTGTTGGGCACCTCGTGTGTTGGGCACCTCGTGTGTTGGGCACCTCGTGTGTTGGGCACCTCGTGTGTTGGGCACCTCGTGTGTTGGGCACCTCGTGTGTTGGGCACCTCGTGTGTTGGGCACCTCGTGTGTTGGGCACCTCGTGTGTTGGGCACCTCGTGTGTTGGGCACCTCGTGTGTTGGGCACCTCGTGTGTTGGGCACCTCGTGTGTTGGGCACCTCGTGTGTTGGGCACCTCGTGTGTTGGGCACCTCGTGTGTTGGGCACCTCGTGTGTTGGGCACCTCGTGTGTTGGGCACCTCGTGTGTTGGGCACCTCGTGTGTTGGGCACCTCGTGTGTTGGGCACCTCGTGTGTTGGGCACCTCGTGTGTTGGGCACCTCGTGTGTTGGGCACCTCGTGTGTTGGGCACCTCGTGTGTTGGGCACCTCGTGTGTTGGGCACCTCGTGTGTTGGGCACCTCGTGTGTTGGGCACCTCGTGTGTTGGGCACCTCGTGTGTTGGGCACCTCGTGTGTTGGGCACCTCGTGTGTTGGGCACCTCGTGTGTTGGGCACCTCGTGTGTTGGGCACCTCGTGTGTTGGGCACCTCGTGTGTTGGGCACCTCGTGTGTTGGGCACCTCGTGTGTTGGGCACCTCGTGTGTTGGGCACCTCGTGTGTTGGGCACCTCGTGTGTTGGGCACCTCGTGTGTTGGGCACCTCGTGTGTTGGGCACCTCGTGTGTTGGGCACCTCGTGTGTTGGGCACCTCGTGTGTTGGGCACCTCGTGTGTTGGGCACCTCGTGTGTTGGGCACCTCGTGTGTTGGGCACCTCGTGTGTTGGGCACCTCGTGTGTTGGGCACCTCGTGTGTTGGGCACCTCGTGTGTTGGGCACCTCGTGTGTTGGGCACCTCGTGTGTTGGGCACCTCGTGTGTTGGGCACCTCGTGTGTTGGGCACCTCGTGTGTTGGGCACCTCGTGTGTTGGGCACCTCGTGTGTTGGGCACCTCGTGTGTTGGGCACCTCGTGTGTTGGGCACCTCGTGTGTTGGGCACCTCGTGTGTTGGGCACCTCGTGTGTTGGGCACCTCGTGTGTTGGGCACCTCGTGTGTTGGGCACCTCGTGTGTTGGGCACCTCGTGTGTTGGGCACCTCGTGTGTTGGGCACCTCGTGTGTTGGGCACCTCGTGTGTTGGGCACCTCGTGTGTTGGGCACCTCGTGTGTTGGGCACCTCGTGTGTTGGGCACCTCGTGTGTTGGGCACCTCGTGTGTTGGGGGCACCACTCACCATTCCACCCGCCTGGCTTGGCGTACTTGGCCCACTTGTTGTTAAGGTCTGCAATCCGAATCATGCTGGATGTGCCACATGCCATGTGCCATGTGCCGCCATGTGCCATGTGCCATGTGCCACATGCCACGTGCCACGTGCCATGAGTCATATGCCGTGTGCCATGTGCCATGTGCCATGCATGCAGGGAGGGAGCAGGGTACATGCACGTAGATAAAGAGGTGAAGTTCGGAAGAATTGACATCGCATGGACATAGGTAGTAGGGAAACTTCTTCTCATCTCTCCCTTCCTCTCGAGGCGAGTTTTTACGTTGAGTCAAATAAAAAATGACCTCAGTTGCTTATACACGGGAAGGGAGATGACTTCCCATCCCTTCCTAGTTTTGAGGTGCCTCAAAACTAGACTCCTATCACGCACTTTTGAGACTCCTCAAAACTAGACTCCTATCACGCGCAATTTTGAGACGCCTCGAAACAAGTTGCATATATACACAGGCAGGGAGATGACTTCGCATCCCTTCCTTCCCCTCCCCTTCCCCAATAGCTTCAATCCTCTTGCTCCGCTTCCCTCTTCCTCTCCCCTCCTTGCCATTCCTTTCTCCTCCGTCCGCTCACCCGTCTTCTCAATTTCTTCTCCTCCCCTCTCCTCATCCACGCCACTTTCTACCCCTTCGCCACGTGCCCTTCTTCCCCTTCTCCACGTGTCATTCCTCCCCTTCTCCACGTGTCCTTCCTCCCCTTCTCCACGTGTCCTTCTTCCCCTTCACCAAGTGTCCTTCCTCTCCTCCACGTGTCCCTTCTCACCTCTCCACGTGTCCCCAATGTCAACGGTGGTCCGCCAGGAGTCTGCCACGTCATACGCCCACAGAGCAGGGTCATCCTGTCCCCTGCATGGAGTAGCACACGTGGCAGGATGGGCAGGCAAGACGTGGCAAGACAAGGCAGGCCAACACGTGGCATGCATGCCAAGGAGAGGCCGACAGATGGCATGACAAGGCAGGCCGACACGTGTCATGATCAGATCAGAGATCAAGGCAGCGCAGGTCACCATGCGCTCTTGACTATTGTCTGCTTAGTCCTACGCCAATCCAAGACACCATTGGTAGCTACAGTGGCATGAAAGTGGCCAGCAGAACAGAGTAGCAGGGTGGGATCTAGGACACACCGCAAATGCGTTTGTTTGCATTCGAGCAAAGTTGGGATCCACTCAGCTCACCACAGGATGCTCTCAGCTCACCATTCGCACATGGTGCATTCTAAGATGGGATGTTCTGAGCTCACCAGGATGCTCTCAGCTCACCATTCGCACATGGTGCATTCTAAGATGGGATGTTTCTGAGCTCACCACAGGATGCTCTCAGCTCATCATTCGCACATGGTGCATTCTAAGATGGATGTTCTGACCTCACCACAGGATGCTCTCAGCTCATCATTCGCACATGGTGCATTCTAAGATGGGATGTTCTGACCTCACCACAGGATGCTCTCAGCTCACCATTCGCACATGGTGCATTCTAAGATGGGATGTTCTGACCTCACCACAGGATGCTCTCAGCTCACCATTCGCACATGGTGCATTCTAAGATGGGATGTTCTGTTCTGACCTCACCACAGGATGCTCTCAGCTCACCATTCGCACATGGTGCATTCTAAGATGGGATGTTCTGACCTCACCACAGGATGCTCTCAGCTCACCATTCACACATGGAGAAGAAGATGTCCCTCCCTGTGGCCTCCAGTGCATTGCGCATGACTGTGTAGCTGAGGGTGCATTTAGGCGTCAGAGGAGGATGAGTTAAGGGGGAGGGGGGGAGTGGGGGCAGAGGGACGATTCAGTTTGGTGCGCTATGGTCGTGAGTGGTGACGGTGAAGCACGCAAACCGTTTTTGACAGTGAGGCACCATACTGAAACGCACTGAAACGAACGGCAAATGAACGAGTGGGATGCACCCTAAAAGAATGAACAAACGAACGAGGGAAAACGGACAGAGCAGTCGGAAGACGGGAAGAAAGGCAATCCATCGTGACAGGTCGATGGGAGAGGGAGGGAAAGCGATGGAATCTGTGATGCCTCAAAGCGAACGTGAGGCCCACACGAGTGACGCCAATACGGTGATGCCAACACAACACAAGTGATGCCGACACAAGTGATGCCGACACGAGTGATGTTGACACGACGTACCGCAACTTGTTTGGGGTTCCATCGTTGTAGCAGTTGTCGTATTTCAGGTAGTCCACTCCCTGCCATGCCATGGATGTGCACAGTCACAGCAGGCAGGCAGATGTCAGAATTCTGTCATTAGCTATCACACGGAGCCACAGCACGCAATGGGCCGCAAACAGTCGGTATGAAGCAGCCCTGATTCGACCTGAAGGTCTTATGGTGTTGGAATCAGACAATGGTGGCAATTGTATTTGCGTTACCTAGAATGCTAAGGTATCTCCCATAGATATGCAGGAATCACCCTAAAACAGTAATCAAGAAACGATACTTGATCCAGCAAACTTCATAAACTTTTTCGACCATGAGCCTTACCCATTCAGCAAAGGTGTGGGCGTCAATGGCCTCATGCCCAAGTGAACCGGGCTTGCCTTCACACGTGCGAGTCCTGATGGGATCATGGGAGGGAGAGGAGTGGAGGCATCAGAGATGATACCTACCCTGGGTTGGTTCCGTTGCTATGCGCCTTTCCCCCTTCATGGGCGCCATTTCCCCTCCCTGTGCGCCTTTTCCCGCTTCATGTGCGCCATTTCCCCTCCCTGTGCGCCTTTTCCCCTTCATGTGCGCCATTTCCCCTTCCTGCGCGCCTTTTCCCCCTTCATGTGCGCCATTTCCCCTTCCTGTGCGCCTTTTCCCCCTTCATGTGCGCCTTTTGCCCCTTCATGTGCGCCATTTCTCCTTCATGTGCGCCATTTCCCCTTCCTGTGCGCCTTTTGCCCCTTCATGTGCGCCATTTCTCCTTCATGTGCGCCATTTCTCCTTCATGTGCGCCATTTCTCCTTCATGTGCGCCATTTCTCCTTCATGTGCGCCATTTCTCCTTCATGTGCGCCATTTCTCCTTCATGTGCGCCATTTCTCCTTCATGTGCGCCATTTCTCCTTCATGTGCGCCATTTCTCCTTCATGTGCGCCATTTCTCCTTCATGTGCGCCATTTCTCCTTCATGTGCGCCATTTCTCCTTCATGTGCGCCATTTCTCCTTCATGTGCGCCATTTCTCCTTCATGTGCGCCATTTCTCCTTCATGTGCGCCATTTCTCCTTCATGTGCGCCATCTCTCCTTCATGTGCGCCATTTCTCCTTCATGTGCGCCATCTCTCCTTCATGTGCACCATTTCTCCTTCATGTGCGCCATTTCTCCTTCATGTGCGCCATTTCTCCTTCATGTGCGCCATTTCTGTGAGAATCTGAAGTGATGATTGTATTAGGAAAGGAGTGGGTATACATAGGTGAGGAGTAGGAGGGAGGGGGGGGGGGGGGGGTTTGGTTGGGAGGTGACCACGATTATTGGTGACCCCAATAAGTTGAGTTGGCCAACTTATTGGGGTCCAATAATCCTAGCCAAGATTATTGGTGGGTCCAATAATCTTGGTTGGGATTATTGGGGGTTCCAATAATTGGGAGCCCAACCAATTTGGGAACCCAACAAGGTTGGGAACCCAACCCCCAACTTGGGTGTATACACCCTAGTGGGGCGCTTATAAGTTCCTAAGACAATGAAACGATGTAGGCTAATAGAATGAAGGGAGAATAGTCTAACACAACCCCTTAGCCTACAGAGTGCCATAAGTCTTGGGAAGGGGAGGAGAAGCAACCCCTGAATCAGGTAGTCCCCTGTGAGGGAGGGGCAAGACCCAGAAGGCGAAGGAGAGCCGCATGGGGACGACGAGGGAGGGCCTTGGTGAAGATGTCGGCAAGGTTGGCTGAAGAGTCAATCTTGCGCACGGTGAGGTGTCCAGCCTGGACGAGCTCACGAACGAAGTAGTGTCGGAGCGCGATGTGTTTGGAGCGACCATGGAAAACGGCTTCCTTTGTGAGGTGGATAGTACTGGCATTGTCGCACCAGATGGTGGGACAGGGCTGGGGACATCCAGCTCAGCGAGGAGGAAGCTGAGCCACCGCGCCTCCTGGGCCGCCATGGTGATGGCGTAGAGCTCTGCTTCGCACGAGGAGAGAGCGATCGAGGAGGAGCGGGTGGAGCGCCAGGAAATGAGGCCACTCCCGAGGGAGAAACCATACCCCTGTGAGCTGCGACGATCGGGCTGAGAATCTGCCCAAGAGGAGTCGCTGTAGCCAGTGAGCTGAGGAGGGGTGGGGCCGCCCAAGGTGAGGACATAGTCCTTGGTGCCTTTGATGTAGCGGAGAACGCGCTTGGCCGCTTGCCAGTGCTCGGGAGTGTGTTTGCCAGCGCCGACAAAGCGCGCCAGGACACTGATAGGGTAGGCGAGGTCGGGGCGAGTGCACATCATGGCGTACATCAGGGACCCGACCAGCTCAGCGTAAGGACTGGTGGAGGAACCGTGGGTGGTTGTCGGCGAGAGCTGGTGGCCGACTTGGAGGGGTGTGGAGACGGGTTTGGCCGTGGCCATCTCGAAGCGTTCAAGGACCTTCTCGAGGTAGAATGCCTGAGAGAGGGAGATGGTCCTGGCCGTACGATCGCGAGAAATCTCCATCCCGAGGTAGTTGCGGACCTCCCCCAGGTCCTTGCAGAGGAGGCGCTTCTGCAGCTCATCCTTGACCTGTTGTAGGTCTGCTTCGTTGTCAGCGGCAAGAAGCATGTCGTCGACGTAGACGAGGATGTAGAAGGGGGAGGGGGAGGTGCGCAGGAAGAGGCAGGAGGAAGCCTGGGAAGGGCGAAAACCAAGAGCACGGAGAGTGCTCGAGAGCTTGGCATGCCATTCCCGAGGAGCTTGCTTGAGGCCGTAGACCGGGCGGCGAAGTTCCCAAACGGTGTTGGGAGGGAAAGGGAGGTGCCAGCCCTCGGGACGCTCCATGAAGATGCGCTCATGGAGTTCACCTTGGAGAAATGCCGTGGTGACATCCATCGAGTGCAGGATCATGCCGCGCCGGCCAACGAAGTCCAAGAACACGCGGACGACAGGGGGAGTGGCGGTCGGCGAGTACGTGTCAAGGAAGTCATGGCCGTACCGCTGCGTAAATCCTTTGGCGCAGTAACGGGCCTTATAGACCGGGTCGTCGCCAGGGAGGAGCTTGACCCGAAATACCCATTTGCCTTTGCCCACGTTGTGGTTGAGAGGGCGGGTACGTCGATGAAGGTGCCGTTGCGGACAAAGGCCTCGTTCTCTTTGAGGACTGCCTTGCCCCAATGAGGGTGGTCGGGGCATGTCATAGCTTCGTGATAATCTCCCGGCTCGAAGATGATGGGCGCACCGGAGAAGACCAGTACCGGAGCGCCGGTCATGCTGAAGGCGACTGCTTGGGTGTTGGAGAAGAGGTGGAGGCGAAGAAATTCACCATGGGAGTCTTCGATGAGGAGGGGAGAGAAAGGAGGAGGAAGGGAGGGTGGTGTTGCAAGTCTGCTGCGCTGCTGAGGGGGAGGCTGCGACACTGCGACTCTGCGACTCGGCTGCACGGCTGCTTGACCGAGGCAACTGCTGCGGCGGATCCTGACGCTGCGGGTGCGGCGACCGGGGCAGGCACTGATGCGGCGGCGGGAGCTGCTGCGGCGGGTGCGGAGGTGGAAGCAGAGGGTGCTGGAGCGGGTGCCTTTGCCTGAGGGGAGGGAGGGGCTAAGGGCGGACCAAAGAGGGGATCCATGTAGGCTTGAGCATGAACCCGACCCGACCCGACCCGACCCGACTTTGCCCTACCCGATGTCGGGGTCGGGTCGGGTCGGGTCGGGTCAAGTCGGGTCGGAGTTCAGGAAATGCCAACCCGACCCGAGTTTAGTAGGTCGGGTACTACTTGACCCGATTTCGGGTCGGGTCGGGTCGGGTTAACATAGGGGCAGGGACGGGTAATAAGCTGACCCGACGGGTCGGGTTTTGTCGGTCGGGTCGGGTCGGGTCGGGTCGGGTACCCGAGGGTCGGGTCGACCCTCCGCAAATGTCGACCCGACCCGTCAAAAAGTCGGGTTCGGGTCGGGTTACCCGACCCGACCCGACCCGTTGCTCAAGCCTAGATCCATGGACCGAGTATGAGGGCGGTGGCGAAGGACAAGGGGAGAAGACACCTGGGGGGTGGAGGAGGAGGTGGGGGAGGTGGGGGAGGAGGGGGGAAGGAGGTGGAGGGGGGGAGGTGGGGAGAAGGGGGAGGATGGAGCGGAAGCGGAGTGAGAGGGAGAGGGGGGAGTACTGGGTCAAGGATGTCACCTGAGGAAGATGAGGAGGGAGCAGATTCGGGAGGAGGAGGTGCTGGGGGTGGGGGAATAAGAGGGAGAGGGGGAGGAGGGGGGGTGACAGTGTCAGAGGGGATGAAGGGGCGAGGAGGAATGGTGAGTGGGTCAGGTGAGGCAGGAGAGGTGTAGTACGGGGAGGATTCGTCAAAGATGACGTCCCGACTACGAATGAGGCGACCTGAGGGGGGATGAAGGAAGAGGTAGTCAGGGGAGGAGGTGTTGTGACCAAGGAATACACAGGGTAGACTCTTGGAGGCGAGCTTCCCTGCTGTGCGTGAGCGGTCGGCTGGGTGTATGAGAACATACGCCCTGGAACCCCAGACGCGCAGGGGGGAGACGTCGGGTTTAGTTGACGTCCACAGCTCGGTGGGGGTGGTGGAGGGGAGGAGAGGGTGGGGATACAGGTTAGTGAGGAGGACGGCGTGGAGAAGAGCATAACCCCAGAGAGAAGGCGGGCAGGAGGCGTGAACGAGAAGACACCTGGCGGTCTTTGTAACTTCTCGAACACGAGCTTCTGCCACGCCATTCTGCTGAGGGGAGTGAGGGAGGGTGTAAGTGTGGTGAATACCATGGGTGGAGAAATAGGAAGAGAGATGGTGATTGAGGAATTCACCGCCGCCATCGGAATGGAAGCGGCGAACGGGACGACCGAAGTGGGTGCGCGCCTGCTCGGCCCAGGCGATGATAAAGGCCGATGCTTCGGCCTTCGTGCGAAGGAGGGAGACCGAGGTGTATCGTGAGCGGTCATCGACTAGGACGAGGAGGTAGCGGTGCCCTTGACGGGTGGGGGAGGGGTTGGGGCCCCAGAGATCCATGTGGACAAGATCCAGGAGCTCTGGGGCGCAAGAAGGGTGACTTTTATGAGAAAGCTGCTTGAGCTTGCTCTGGACACAGATGGTGCAAGGTGGGGCGGGGGAGGGAGGAGTGGGGGGAGAGTGAGGGAAGGCCATTGAGGAGCCCGGAGGCGACGGCCTTGTGGAGGGTGGCAAAGTTGGGGTGACCTAGGCGGTGGTGGAGGAGGATGGCAGGATGTGTAAGATCACGACAGTGGCACTGAGATGGCGGGGGAGCAGGAGGGCGGGAGGGGAGGTGGAGGGAGGTTGCGGGGGAAGAGGGAGGGGGGAGGGGAGGGATGGTGGAGGCAGTGTGACAGGCTGACGGACGGGGAGTGTGAAGGGTGGACATGCGAGTGCGAGGACACATGGGAACACGGACGATGAAATGGCCCGTGGATGAGTGAAACAAATCGCAGTGGGTGGCGTGGCCGGGGTAGATTGTTGTGACCCCGGCCCGTTGAAGTGCACCTTGGGAGACGAGGTTAGTGCGAAGGGAGGGACATGGAAGCCAGTTACTGAACCTGAGGGAAGAGGGGGCAGGGAAGAGTACAGGTATGGCGGGAGGTGACCGAGAAAGTAGAATCGGCTCCAATGATGGTGGAGGGGTTAGGGAGGGGGTGAGGCACCAGCATCACGAAGGACTGTGACACTGGCGCCGCTGTCAATGACAAACTCAATGGAAGGAGGAGTGGGGTGAGACACGGAGTACTGGAATGAGGTTTCATTAATAGACTCGGGAGACATTGGAGGAATAGCAGGAGAGGCATGGCTAACATGGTTGATGAAGCCAGGTGAGGGAAATGGGGTAAAGCCAGGAGGTCCGGTGGGGGCCTGCGCAGGAGGAGCAGGAGCAGACAGGCCAGAGCTCCAGGCGGAGGGAGGGGAGGCTGCTGCTGAGACTGCTGGTGCTGCTGAGACTGTTGCAGCTGCTGGAGGAGCTGCTGCAGGAGCTGCTGTGGCTGCTGCTGGGACTGCTGCGGCTGCTGGTTCTGCTGCGGCTGCTGAGTCTGCTGCGGCTGTGGGACGGAAGGAGGGGCGTGACCTGCTGGAGGATCTGTGGAGGGAGGTGCTGTGCGAGGATGTGGTGGAGAGAGGTAGAGGAGGGCTGATAGGCGGGGAGGGTACGAACATCAAAGGGAGTGGGAGGTGGAGTGATAGCGGACCAGCGAGGGGGCGTGCCCGTGTTGCCCTCGATCAAGCCACTCATCAGTGAGGGCCGTGAAACATGTGGTGGTGGCATGGGTGGTTTGGAGGCAGCGCTTACCCTTGTTGGGGCCGTTGCGGATGAGATACTGACACGGGGAGAAGCCGCCGGTGCTGTTGGAACCACTGCTACCCCCGCGTCCTCCACTGCGCCCCCCGCCACGTCCACCACCCGATCGTCCCGCCGAAGTACCGCCACGGCCAGCACCACGTCCTCCTTTTGCTTGGGCAGCATGAGCCGTTGGAGGAGACTGGCGGAGAAGCTCCGCTTCAGTTTTCAGAATCCATGCGGCTACATAGGCGGAGTCGGGTGGGAAGCTGGCGTGGACCTCATTGAACGCCACGCGACGGGCCTCATACAAGGGGTGAGGCCGTCGAGGAGGCGGCAAACGATGAGGGAGTCGGGAAGGGGAGAGCGACGATCGGCAAGGCGTTTGGCAGTGGTGAGGAGGCGGCGCGTGAAGGAGAGGGCGTTGGGGCAGGAGTCAAGGTTGATGTCGAGGAAGGCGCGGTGGAGCGCTAGGAGAGAGTTGGTGTCCTGGAGGTCATAGGTGGCACATAGCTCTTTCCAGAACTCGGGAGCGGAGGAGGGGGTAATTTCGCGTTTGAGGGAGGAAGGAACGCATGCAGACAGGATAGCGAGACATCTGCGGTTGGCAACGTTCCAGGCAGAGTGGCGACGACGGTACTCACGAAAGTCGTTAGCATACTTAGCCGTGGCGTCCTTGTGCTGTTGGAGGAGTGTGTTGGCGGCGTCGTGCGCAGCTTGCTCTGCGTCATACGCGTGATGGAGGAGAGTGTACTCCGCAAAGTCCTTGTCATATTGGTGTTGCACGCGAGCCCAGCGATCAGGGTCGTCGGTGTAGACCAGTGGAGAGGGCTTGGTGGGGGCCGGTCCCGAGGGGGCCGGGGGTGGGGCGGGAGGTGCAGGGGAGACATCAGCGGGACATTCTGGGGGCTGCCCTGCGTCATTGCCAAGGAGAATGTCAAGGAGGCAGTAGTCGTTGATGATAGCGGATCCGAGGACATTGGTAAGGCTCTGGGCAAAGGTAGCCCAGTTGACAGGGACGGCGTCGTCGATGAGCTCGAGGACGTCGATGGTGGAGATGTCGACGGCGAGTGTTTCGGTGGTCATGGTGCGATTGTGGATGCTGCTGCTGTTGCTGCTGGGGATGAGTGGAGAGGGGAAGGAGGAGGGAGGGGAGGGGGGGGAAATACGGCTGCTGCTGCTGATGGTGCGGCTGCTGGAGATGAGGCGACTGCTGCAGCTGGTGGGGGAGGAAGGGGAGTAGGGGGAGGTGGAGGGGGAGATGTGGCTGCTGCGGCTGATGAAGGGAGTGGGGAGGAGGTGAAGGCCGGTGGAGGGTGCGGTTGCGGTTGCTGCGTTTGATTGAGGAAGGATGCGGCTGCTGCTGTTCGTGGGGAAGGAGGAGAGGAGGGGAGGGGAGGGGGGGGGGGGGGGGGGGGGAGAGAGGGAGGGGAGGAGGGGAGGGAGGAAGGGGGGGGGGAGGAAGAAGACGGGTGCGCGGAGCGCAGCTCTTAAGCTGCGCGACGCGAAGCCTTCTTCGGGCGCCGATGCGAAAGGCGACGGCCGGCGCAGATGGTGAGGACCGGACGCCGAAATGCAGACAAGCGCCGCGCCTAAATGCGGCCGGGCGCCGCGCCGAAATGCGGCCGAGCGCCGCGCCGAAATGCGGCCGGGCGCCGCGCCGAAATGCGGCCGAGCGCCGCGCCGAAATGCGGCCGAGCGCCGCGCCGAAATGCGGCCGAGCGCCGCGCCGAAATGCGGCCGAGCGCCGCGCCGAAATGCGGCCGAGCGCCGCGCCGAAATGCGACCGAGCGCCGCGCCGAAATGCGGCAGGAGCGCCGGGTCGAAATGCGGCAGGAGCGCCGCGCCGAAATGCGGCCGAGCGTCGCGTCGAAATGCGGCCGAGCGCCGCGTCGAAATGCGGCAGGAGCGTCGCGCGAAAATGCAGCGCTTAAGGGCGCGAGGAGAGGCGCTTAAGGGGCGGGGAGGGGCGCTTGTGGGCGCGGGGAGGGGCCCTTATGGGCGCGGGGAGGGGCGCTTATGGGCGCGGGGAGGGGCGCGTTGGGCGCGAGGTGGCTAGGGATCGAACGACGGAGAGGCGTGAGCCATAAGCTCTGAAACCATGTGAGAATCTGAAGTGATGATTGTATTAGGAAAGGAGTGGGTATACATAGGTGAGGAGTAGGAGGGAGGGGGGGGGGGGGGGTTTGGTTGGGAGGTGACCACGATTATTGGTGACCCCAATAAGTTGAGTTGGCCAACTTATTGGGGGTCCAATAATCCTAGCCAAGATTATTGGTGGGTCCAATAATCTTGGTTGGGATTATTGGGGGTTCCAATAATTGGGAGCCCAACCAATTTGGGAACCCAACAAGGTTGGGAACCCAACCCCCAACTTGGGTGTATACACCCTAGTGGGGTGCTTATAAGTTCCTAAGACAATGAAACGATGTAGGCTAATAGAATGAAGGGAGAATAGTCTAACATTTTCTCCTTCATGTGCGCCATTTCTCCTTCATGTGCGCCATCTCTCCTTCATGTGCGCCATTTCTCCTTCATGTGCGCCATTTCTCCTTCATGTGCGCCATTTCTCCTTCATGTGCGCCATTTCTCCTTCATGCGCGCCATTTCTCCTTCATGTGCGCCATTTCTCCTTCATGTGCGCCATTTCTCCTTCATGTGCGCCATCTCTCCTTCATGTGCGCCATTTCTCCTTCATGTGCGCCATTTCTCCTTCATGTGCGCCATTTCTCCTTCATGTGCGGCCTTTCCCCTTCATGTGCGTCATCTCCCCTTCCTGTTCACCCTTTCCCCTTCCACCCTTTCCCCTTGCCGTGCACCCCTTCCCCTTCGTGTCCCCCGCACCGTCACCAGCCCAGATTCGATGTGCGCACAGACTTACCCGGCATCAGAATAGATTCCCAGCTTGAGCCCCTTGCTCTGCACATAGTCCGCAAGTGCCTTTCCGCTTCCTATGTCTGCCCCTTTCACCAGCCTAAGCCCGCCTGCATGCACTCCCCCTTACCCTGCATCAGAGTAGATCCCCAGCTTGAGCCCCTTGCTGTGCACATAGTCCGCAATCGCCTTGATTCCCGAAGGAAACCAGACAGGAGAAGGTACCAGGCGACCCTGAACAACCCAATGGCAGTGGAAAATATGAAAGATAGGTAACGATGAATAGAATAGAAATTCTGGAGAAACCCTTAGGTTGGAGTATTGGATGGAAGCCTTAGAGACACAAGCTGCTAACGTAGCTGACATGCTGCTGCACGGTGCTATCGCAGCGATGCCTTGGCTTGGCAGGCGATTGCTGCCTTGTTATTTACATCCAAATGCTCCACTGATTGTTCACAGTTTCAAACAGGAAATCTATTTTTGAGGCGCCTCAAAAACAGTTTCAAACGGGAAATTCAGGAAGTGGTGTAACAGTCTTGAAGGCTTGCAATGAAGCCACTCTTCTGATGGCTAAACAGCAACACAGTTGCAAAATAGTATGCCTCGTTATAGCCTGCACTTGAGATTCGGTACAACCTGATGTTCATGTTTCAAACACCCACCTCTGAATCTCGGGAGTCAGCCTGCCAGCAATCATCTGCAAGGGAGGTGAAAAAAAAGCTTAGTCAGAAGAGGCGAAACCTTATGTATTAGGAAGCCAAACAAGAAAATGGAAAGCGTGGATGCCCTTCAGTCCCGATATAAGGTGTCTCCGTCCTGATTTATGGTGTGTCGAAACGCGGCTGGAGAAGCAAGCACGCCACTGCTACAGCCCTAGCTATTTCGCTTCACTCTGACGAATTCAGTGTGAAAAGAGAAAGATGGAAAAGGTTGGAAGTACGTCACCTATGTTGACATAGACGTATCCAAGAGCTACTAGTCCTGATGACACGAGCTTGTCCGCTGCAAGTAGGAAGGAGAGCATCACGCGAGTACCACGTGGTGGGGAGCGATGGAGAGGGATTGCTGAAATGGAAGGACCTGTTTCACTGCAGGATGAACGGTGATGAGGTGAACGTGAATTTGTGGCAAGTTTCTTTTCCCAAACACTCTTGAAGCCAAAAGCTGAAACAGAAATAGAGAAATAACAGTTTGAGTCTGCTTTGACTCACGAGTCACACACCAGGAACGGTGACAGTCTTTACCTGCGGTTTTCACAATGCCTTCAGTAATCCGGCATTGGAAGTGATTCCAGCTGTTCCATCTGCCACATTGTACCGCATCGTGCCACATCGGACATGACATTTTAGTCACTGACAGAGAATTACCGAGGTATACTTGACTTAGGAAGCGAGCATCATAATGAATACTAGGTTACGGAGTTGCGAACGCTTGAGATATTTATGAACAGAGGCTAGCTACAGCCCGTTCCGTCGGGGTGTTATTATCGAGTAACTTGAGCTAATAGTGTTACCCGAGCTGAGGAGTCTGTGCAATCTTTCGCGCTCGATGCACCGTTCCAGAAAGGTCGATTTTCTCTTTCCTTCCAAGGTTCAGAATAGTTGGAACGGATGTCTCTCCGCTTACAGCCGAGGATTGATGGAAGATAATAGCCAGACAGAAGCACACAGATAAGAACGAGAATTCCATTCCTCTGTAGCTCATTGCAATAAGAATAAGAACCTAGAATGCGTCTCCAACGAAAACGGCAGGAGCGAGTGCTCAGTATTAACTTATTACTGGGAGCTTGAAACCGAGTAACTGGATCAAATGAGTGACCTGAGAACGGCGTCGTCTCGGCTCGGAATGAGTCACTTGCTGCGTCAAATTCAAGGTCGTACAGGCCTCCAGGCTACTCTGATTGTACTGTAATCCCTATACTGTATGGACATTCCTAGAGATGGTCAAATCAGCTGACAGGCAGTCGCCTGACATGAGCGGGGGAGCTCTGCTGGCTGTCCCCAGCAGTCTTTTCATCACGCCTCGATTTGGCTGGGGTGGAGTGGAACAGAATTCCCTCGAGGGAGATTCTCGAGAGGGCAAGTGAGGTGGATGGATGATCCTTACGGTTTGGAAGGATACTGTACCCTTGGGAATGCCGTAAGGCTGATAACAGTACGGTTCGACGCCGTCGATCTGTCGCAATCGACGGACATCTTGAACGTAACAAATTCTTGTTTTGTTGTAGTGGTGGGGTGGGGGTGAGGTAAAGAGGAGGGATGCCTTGGCTTGGGCTGATCAGCCGACACCGAGTGATAGTTTGGGACGTATTTCTGAAGTAAATATCCGGTAACCCAGGCTCACCAGGTATAGTTGGGAGGACTAATGCAACCCAAAGAACAAAATACACGGCCCACCACCCTGCCCATGAGTCCTGTTCCCGGTGAAAGTTCCTCATGAGTCGCACCGAATGTGATTCCAGAAATTGTTATGCAGAAGAGAGTCGCACTACGAACGCAAATGAAACGCTTTTGACGGATACTGAATCGATGAGATTGCGCCCCACTCCAGCCCTATGTGATGAGGTGTACCATTTAGTCACTGACGGAAGCATCACGTCACCATACACGAATCCGACGCCACCGGATTCCTGAATCCCAACAGAAAGTTCCCCTTTAGGAGACCAATCCGATAATCTCCGGGACACGTAGAGAACAGTTCTCTTAACCTATAGTAGGGTTTCTCCTCCACAGCATTCAGTTCATCATAACCTTTGAATTGTACAAACTCGTGATATCAGTACAAATGTAACAACTTCAATGTTTACCTAGAAGCACATACTCAACTAAGTGGCGTGGCGTCTATTGACGACACCTTTACAATGCAAGTGCCATGCCATGCCATGCCAGCCTAGTGGCGCCATGTGCCATGGCAATTTACTGATTCACACAACGCAGAAGGAAGGCTGCCTTTTTTGTAGGCAGTAAAAACACGCCACCAATATACCAGGTAATGTACATTGTATACATAGCCAAGATACATAGCCAGGCTGCGTTTTTTACTTATTGCAAGAGCCATTGTTTCCTAATTATATTCAGTTGGGCTAGGCATCTGCAACGGGCCAGATCACAAACAATCGCACACCATGGCTCGCAACACGAGCGCGCAGTTTACCCGAGATGGCCGAATCCATGGTGGCATTCTGCAGCAGCATTGGAGAAGCACAACGAAGTGGAGGCATATGAAAACAGAGTTTGTGCTGTTTGTGTGTGCGCGTGCATGCATGCGTGTGAGCGCGTGTGTGTAAGTGTGTGTGTGTGTACGAGCGAGTAAGTGTGTGTGGGTATGTGTGTGTGTGAGAGTGAGCGTGTGTGTGAGAGGGAGTGTGTGTATACATGCATATATGTGTGTGCATAAACGTGCATGCCTTTGGGAAGAGGGGGGGAAGGTGGGGGAGTGAGGGGGAGAAAAAGAAGACACATACTATGTGAACCCCCGTACCTTCCACAAGTCCCGTGCATACATCCGCTGCACGAGATTCAGGCCAATTGCTTTCCAGCAAGCTTTCACATTTTGGCACTTTTCAGATGTTCACATTTTTCGAGCTAAAAAGTTAAACCAAACCATGGGTTCACCCGTACCTTCCAGAGGTCCCGTGCATCCACTGCACCGGATTGAGGCCAATTCCTGTCCAGCTGGCAGCTAGATCTTAGCTCCTTCGCAAGAATGGGTTAACGAGAACATGGGTTCACCCATACCTTCCAGAGGTCGCGTGCATGCATCGGCTGCACCGGATTGAGGCCAATTGCTTCCCAGCTGGCAGTCACATTCTTGCTCCTCTGACTACGGTTCACCAACGCCACTACTTGCCGACCCTCAGACAGAGGTCCGGACCAAACCTGCAGATTCGAGAGCAGGCGGTTTGAGGGAGGGAGGGGTTATAAGAGAACACATTTTAGCTTTGAGGCATGTGAAGCCACGCTGGAGGAAGCTTAGAGGCTGCAAGATGAGTGAAATCATTGTGCCCCACAAAGTTCGCGAGAGTTCATTTCGTTCTGAGGCATCTGAAACAACACAACTACTAAAGCCAAGAGAAGAACAGAGACAAACGCTTCCTGCATGGGATGGGAGTGCCCTTAAACCCTGGCCAGGTCCCAAAATACTCAACCCGAGTCAACAGGAGGTATGTGGGTTGGGCACGTGCAAAAAGATTCTCAACTATTGGGTTGTACTTCGCAAGATTTTTCGTCGCCACATTAGGCATTTACTGTATCAGGGGGCTTTGGAAAAGGCAAGGACGATACGATCTGACGGCTGGGACGCAAGGAAACAAGGACTCCGAAACAAGGATATGGAAACGGCTGGCACGTTCCGTTATAAGGACGCGGGGAAACAAGGATCTGGAAATCCAACCACTCCAAACTCTAAAGCGAGGGTCGGGAAATTGTTTGGGGTAACAAAAACTAGACGCGCCTAGAGCCAAACTGGGTATAGCTTGATCCTATCATGTAATTTGGGACCTGGGCTTTAAGGTAAGTCCATGTTGCATCATAAGTTAATCGTGACAGTTTTTTTTCACATGTGATAGGATAGGGTCTTTTGGTTCGTAATAGTGATTGTGATATGGTAGTTTGATCGTCAGTTGGTTTACCTCGCATCATATGCAGATTAAAACGTGCTAGGGTCCAACAGACCACTTACCAACACAAGAAGTCACCTCCCCCCACAAGAAGTTCATCTAATTGCGCTCACCTCCAGGAGGGAGTCTTGAGACTTGACCTCACAAGAAGTTAATCTATTTGACCTCACTCACCTCCAGGAGGGAGTTGTTAGAGAGATGCACCTTTCTCGCCTGCACTCCCAGCGGGTCTGCACCAATCACAGAAGGACACGTGTGAGAGGGGACAAGTGGGTCTCTGCACCATTAACAGAACGTGTGAGAGGGGACATGTGTGTCTGCAATATTTACAGAATGCGTGAGCAGGGACAAGTGGGTCTGCACCAATCACAAAAGGACACGTGTGAGAGGGGACAAGTGGGTCTGCACCGATCACAGAAGGGCACGTGTGAGCTGGGACTCACGCAGGTGGAGGAACCAGCAGATGACATAGGTGAGCTAAGACACAGATGACTAGGTTTGCACGAGCTACACTAACACAATGGAAGCATAGCAGTCTAGTTTTGAGGCACCTCAAAACTAGACTTCCAGCTTCCACAAATTGAGGATCTACAACAACGGCATGTGCACCTTTACACAGGTGACTGGTTTAGCATGAGCACCTTTACACAACAACGGCACGTGCACGCTACAGCGGGATACGTATGCAGCAGCATGAGATGATACACACCGTGCTTGAGATGATACACACCTTGCATGAGATGATACACACCTTGCATGAGATGATACACACCTTGCATGAGATGATACACACCTTGCATGAGATGATACACACCTTGCATGAGATGATACACACCTTGCATGAGATGATACACACCTTGCATGAGATGATACACACCTTGCATGAGATGATACACACCTTGCATGAGATGATACACACCTTGCATGAGATGAGACACACCTTGCATGAGATGATACACACCTTGCATGAGATGATACACACCTTGCATGAGATGATACACACCTTGCATGAGATGATACACACCTTACAAAGATGATACAAACCTTGCATGAGATGATACACACCTTGCATGAGATGATACACACCTTGCATGCGATGATACACACCTTGCATGAGATGATACACACCTTGCATGAGATGATACACACCTTGCATGAGATGATACAAACCTTGCATGAGATGATACACACCGTGCATGAGATGATACACACCTTGCATGAGATGATACACACCTTGCATGAGATGATACACACCTTGCATGAGATGATACACACCTTGCATGAGATGATACAAACCTTGCATGAGATGATACACACCTTGCATGAGATGATACACACCTTGCATGAGATGATACACACCTTGCATGAGATGAAACACACCGTGCATGAGATGATACACACCTTGCATGAGATGATACACACCGTGCATGAGATGAAACACACCGTGCATGAGATGATACACACGTTGCATGAGATGATACACACCTTGCATGAGATGATACACCCCTTGCATGAGAACGTACCCTGGTTAACAGCAACGACCTCTTCGTTGCTCAGAATGCTCATTGTCTCATCCGATGCCGCAGAGAGGTCACAGCCAATCAGGAGAGGCGCCTGGTGGGAGGTGGGGGGAGGGTGGGCGCGTTTGAACCTGCTGAGGAGAAAATAGCCAGCTGGGAAAAACACCGGGCGAAAATAGCCACCGTGTGAAAATAGCCAGCCAAATCTTCAATCAGATGCTCATTGTCTCCGCCGATGCGGCGGAGAGACCATAGCCTATGAGGAGATGTTTTGTTTTTGAGAATTCTAGAAAACAAAACATATCACAGCCTAGGAGGAGAGGCGCCTGGTGGGAGGTGAGGAAAGGGTGCAGAGAGGGGTGGGAGATGGACTGAGCTGCTTTGAATAGACGGAAAAAGCTGATTTGCCTGTGACTTTCACAATGATGAAATTCATGTTGCTCTATGCTCACCTCATGGCGAAGGGCGCTATGCTCACCTCATGGTGAAGGGCACTATGCTCACCTTTCCTTATGCATGTATGAACCCATGTCCACCTCCATGCACCCAGGCGTATCATCATACACCCATGCCCACCTCCATGCACCCATGCACACCTCATGCACCCATGCCTACCTGCAAGCACCCATCCCACCTTCATGATGGCCCAGAGGCTGAAGTGCACGCGGTACTCCGACTCTCTCATGCCGCCATTCCCCACCTGCAGCATGTCGGGGTCTGCGAGGGGGGGTCAAGTATGGAGAGGGGAATGTTTGGGGTGTGGGCGGAGGAGAGTGAGGAACAGTTGCGCTTGAGCGCCTTAAAGAAGAGCACACGGTACTCCGATGGGATAGGGGGAGTGAGAGTGTCACCACCCCACCTGCGGCATAGATTCAAGAGTGGGGAAAAAACTGGCAGCGCTCCTT